TATATTTTCGGGATATAGCAATGTACATACAAACCTTATATAAGCTAATTTATAAACTATATAATTTTAAACAAGTGTTTTTCTTGGATATAATGAATTTGTAACATAATAATGTCCACCAATTTCAAAATATTAATTCACAAATTTTATTTACAATCAAAGAAAAACCCGCGCTTCTAAGCGCGGGTCAAAATCTAGTTATGGTTTACTTCCACATCTATCATCACTCTCAACTCTGTGTTTAACCTCTACGAATCTAAGGGAAAAAAATGAATGTAAACAAATACTCTTTATTTTTGTTCCACCTTTGCTCTAATCTTATCCTCAAGCAACTCCACATCAAGTCCATACATTCTGTTCAACGCTTGCATGTTCTCTAACGTCTCTTTCAACGTTCTGCTATCACTCCCATCACATCTCAAATGTTGCATTGGACCCTGCAAAAGCTTGTTCACTAGACTCCGAGTTAAATCCTCAACTGCTTTCCTCGTCTTCTCGTCCATGCCACTGCCATGTTTCGACATGAATCTCTCAACCAAACCAGCTCTTGTTCTCTCACAATACTCCCTCAGTTTCTTGATCGTTGGAACCGTTTCTAAAGAATCTCTCCACGCTTCAAACTGTTTGGATTCCTCTGTGATGATACCCTGAGCTTCCATTGCTTTCTTTGTCCTCTCTTCTTTATTAGCAGCTACCACTTCCTTGAGGTCATCCACGTTGTAAACTCGTGCACATTCTAGCTCAGCAACGCAAGAACCAACGTTTCTAGGAACAGAGATGTCAACAAAGAGCCTCCCATCTGCAACAGGAGGGAGACTCTCTACATGCTCTTTTAACAACAACGGTGACTCTGAGGCTGTACTAGTAAAGATCACATCAGCTTCTCCAGCACAAGCTAACATCTCATCAAACGGTTTATAAACAATCTCAACACCAGGAGGCATCTCTTCCCGTATAGCTGCAACTTTCTCCTCACTTCTATTCACAACCACCATCTTATTACATCCCTTAGCAACCAAGTGCTTAATCACAAGCTTCCCCATCTTTCCAGCACCAACCACCAACATCCTAGCAGATGCAAATGAAGATTCTGGAAGCTTCATGAGAGCAAGCTCAACGGCAGCAGAGCTAACGGAAACAGCACCGGCAGCGAGGTTTGTCTCGGTTCTGACACGCTTTCCAGCAGTGATAGCCTTTTTAAATAGAGCACTGATATGTCTCCCAAAACCGTCGACTCCTTGACTTAAGTTAACAACTTGTCTAACCTGTGCAAGTATCTGACCTTCTCCTAGGACAAGAGAGTCCAAACCAGCCGAGACTTGGAACAGATGTTGTGTCACGTCCTTGTCGTACATCACAAAACGGTGTTGACAGAGATCTGAAACTGGAATCCCACTTGTCTGCAAAGTAAAGAAACATTACGTTAGCATTTTTTTGCAATGATGGAAAGAAAGAAAGAACATTACGATTAGCATCATCACCTTAGACATCCATTCAGTGACTTCTTTGACACCACGGTGCTGAGAAAGAGCCAGAACATAAATCTCCATACGGTTACAGGTACTGAGGACAGCAGCTTCTTCGATATGATTCAAACCACATAACTCAGTGATAGCTCGTGGCCATTCAGCTTCGGGGATGGCGAGCTTCTCACGCATCTCAACGGGAGCTGTGTGGATGTTGAGTCCAATCACCACAATGCTGCTTTTTTCCTTTGTGTATCCTGGTCACAACCAATCAAGAGAGTTCAATTAAAAACAGAGTAATCCAATGCAATTAAATATACAGCTCAGGGATTAAAGAACAATCTCGAAGAAGTTGGCTTTTTACGTCAAACATGAATCAAATGGTTGAATAGATAATTAAAAGTTCCAATTTTTAGAAACAAAAACACAGAACAAGCTCAAAGATGATTACGTCGTATAGATAAATTAAAAATTCAATCTTTTGGAAACAAAAGAGTCAGAACAAGCTCAAAGAAGATTGCTTTCACGTCAAAAATGAATCAAAACGTCGTATAGATAATTAAAAATTCAAATTTTGGGAAACAGGGAGACAGAACAACTCAAAGAAGATTGCTTTTACGTCAAACAATGAATCAAAACGTTGTATAGCTTAATTAAAAATTCAAACTTTAGAAAACAGAGAGGCGTTGTCAACGAGAACTAATCAAAAATTACAAATTGTGCAATCAGGAGGCAGAGCAAAAAAAAACAAAAGGCAGAGAGACTCATTACTGTCAATAGAAGAGGTCTTGAGCTGCTCCAGAGCCGAGATGCTTGCTGCTTTCGACGCAGATATCTCGCAACGCCCTCTCTGGATCAAGCCCCGTCTTGACCCATTGTTCATCGGAAAAGCAAGATTCCCAGTCAGCGGAGCTGGAGACAAAGACAGATCATTTGGATTCAATAACAAAGTCTTCACCTTTGAGCTAATAACGACGGCGTTTGAAACAGCCATAGCTTTTTGAGTTTTTCTCTCAAATTACACAAATCTTCTCCTCCAGAATTCGAATCCTAGAGATCAGGAATCGAGCAGACAAAGAGGAGATTAAAATGCGATGTCGGAAGAGTGGTTATGATTTGAGAGTTAGAAAAAATGAGGAAACCCACCTCTTTGGGGGTTAGGATCATGAAGGTGTATTAGTTGAGGGAAGAAAAACAAACAAATAATTAAAAAGGAAGAAGCAGGTGAACACGGGTTCGGGTCAAACCGGGTTTTATGAGATTTCGTCAAGCCAAAACTATTGACCCTCAGAAATTCAGGGTTTTTGATTGGACGGTGATTATGATTGAAATGTGAAAGGAATATCAAAGTTTTGTGAGAATAGTGAGATGCTGTAATTTTGGCGGGTGGCCAACACGTTTTTTTTATTTATCCACAGTCCACACACTCGTTTTGACTTTTTTACTTCTGAATTTTTTCCTGTGTGTTTCCTTCCGACCATTAAACTCGAGCTTTGATGTTGTTTTTCATGATAAATGAGAAAGGTGCGTGACAAAATCCTACAAGACATCCGGTAGAAGATGAAATGAGGCAGCATCTAAAACTGTTTAAGCGTGTAAATAGTATACATTTATATGCAGGAGTTGATTGGGAAGCTGGATGAACAACGCACATCATTGGTATGTCATGTATAGGGTATAACAATTATGCGTGGAATTCATTATTATTGCTGAATTCATAATGCATTTAGTCGTCGTTATTAAAATAATTTCATGCATGCTATTAAATATTTGTAGTCAACTTTGAAGAAATAACGGGTATCACAATTAAAGAACAAGTAGGATTTGAATAAGTGGGGAAGCTTGATACTATTTTGACACAGAAAAAACAACTATATTTTAGATTTAAGGAGGGGCCAGAACCAAAGAGAAAACAAAAATTATATTTTAGATTTTTCATCAGTTTGGTAATAACTTGTACATATGTGTTTCTTGGGGTTTTTTAGAGGAGAATTGAAATCATAAGTATGGACAGTCATAATCGTATCCCCCCACCCCAGCAGTCTTATTCTGCTTAGAATGTGAGGTAGTATTATTTGTGTTAGACAATAGACCCACACACAAAAAAGTAGGCATTGTCTATTTAGGAAGAAAGCTAATTAAAGCCTATTAAACTGACATTACATCAGTCGTATGATATCAACCAAGTGGGAACTAGGCATTGTCTCTTAGTGTAAATGTTTCTGAAGTTAACCGCAGGCCTAACATAGACAAAACTAAACCGAAAAACTAAACAACCACCCTTGAAAATAATGTTGATCAAGTAAGCCAATTAACTACAATTTCATTGAATATTTGTTGTACAAGATAGTCAAAATCAAAACATTTAGATATTGATTTTGTTTTGATTTCTGTAATCAGCTAATCAGCTTGCATAATTGTATGATTTACTAATTGCATCTGAATTTGGTAACTTTTATCCCACTAACTTTGTTCATATATTGTAAACAAAACCTTCTTTTACTCTTAGCTAGTATTTCTCAATTCGATATCTTCTCTTCTATAAGATGAAAAAATACACGAATTGAACAAATTAATATGTCAGCATTTAAGCAACTTATTATAATTGACATGTTCACCACATCATAAACCACATACATTAAGCCAAAACATTACATGACATCAGTTTAGTCATTACAACCAAATCATAGTTAATTTAAGTTCATAGTAAAGCCCACCACAGTTTTGTTCACATGTTATTGGGTCTCAATCGCATGCGGCCCTTCATTTGTCCTAAAAAGGAAACTAGGGCACTATATAATTAACTACAAAATATTGATTACCCAAAGTGTAACTTTTTTTTTTTTTTTTTTTTTTTTTTTTTTTTTTTTTTGAAACAACCCAAAGTGTAACTAATTACCTAAATTCCAGCAAAATTTTCCAACCCGACCTACCCTATTTAGTTAGTGCCTATCTAAGAAAATTTTCCCATAAATAAGTAAAATACTAAAAGTGTGATAGTCACGTAAAGCTAATATGTAAAGACAACAAAAAATGCTACTTTTAGAGTGAGATTGGTTTTATCTTGGCACCCTCGTGTCGTGTCCTTACTTTAGAGTGGGATTGGTTGGATCTTGACACCCTCGTGTCCTTACTTTAGAGTGGGATTGGTTAAACCTTGGCACCCTCGTGTTTTACGTTTTAGCCGTAACCTAAACAGGATAAAACATCGACGTGTTACAGCTCACACTGGGCCCTTGATTTACAAACAATACGTCACTTATTCTTCTTTTAATTATTTCGCTAGTCTTATACATTATCTCAAAACAAAATACTATCTTAAAGTAATTAGAACTATTTGAAAATTTTGTGAACAATGATTAGTTAGTACGTCTAGTTTTATAAATAAAGCTATTGATTTTGTCTTAGCGTATGAAAGTTTCATCGTCAACAATTATTGAAATACTTGACGTCGCTCTTGTGCAAACGTATAGTGAAACGTTCTTTATCCCACGATCCAAGGGAATGTGACGATTGCTCTTTTACTTTTCTCCCACCAAAATGATTCCTCATAAATTTTTTTTGTTTTGTTCAACATGATTCCTCATCTCAAAACCGTCTTTTATATTATCCCTTACAGAACAATAAAACCCCTCTTTCTCCGTGCCCGAATATCACTTTAATTAATTACAAATTTGCCCCACTAAAATCCAATCAATAATCAAAAAATTCGACCCTAAAACTTACTAAAATAATTTTATCATCCCTTACAGAACACAAAACCCCTCTTTCTCCGTGTCCGAATATCACTTTAATTAATTACAAATTCGCCCCACTAAAATCAAATAATAAAAAATTCGAACCAAAAACTTTCTAAAATAGCTTTATTATCCATTACAGAACACAAAACTCCTGTCACCGTGTCCGAACATCACTTTTACTATATTTACAAATCCGCCCACTAAAATCAATTAATTAAAAAAAACTACTTTCCAAAAGTAGATTCTCAAACCACCAACTATTAGTCCATTGCTACCTTTTTCTCCACCACTTACAAGTGTGTGCGCTCTGCTCTCACATAGAATCGGTGAACACACACATAGAGAGAGAGAAAGAAAGATGTCAACTTCCGAACAAGATCGCCGCCATCGTCCCTCACGCAACCGTCACCAACCACCAGTTACTCCTCCTCGAACAAAAATCTCCAAACGTGTGCTTCTCCGAGTAGCCTCCGTAGCCTGCGGGATACAGTTCGGGTGGGCCCTCCAGCTCTCTCTACTCACACCATACGTGCAGGAGCTAGGGATACCGCACGCTTGGGCGAGCGTGATCTGGCTATGCGGTCCTCTCTCTGGCTTGTTCGTGCAGCCGCTCGTTGGACACAGTAGCGACAGGTGTGCGAGCAAGTACGGTAGGAGGAGACCGTATATAGTAGCGGGAGCAGTGGCGATCGCGGTGGCGGTTATGGTGATAGGACACGCGGCGGATATAGGGTGGGCGTGTGGGGATGGAGAAGGGAAGGTGATAAAGCCGAGGGCGATTGTGGCGTTTGTGTTTGGGTTTTGGATTCTTGATGTTGCTAATAATATGACTCAGGGTCCTTGTAGAGCTCTCCTCGCTGATCTTACTGGTAATTATAATCTCTCTGCTTTAAAAAAAAATTATATCTGAATTTGTTTTATGTAATTTATTGGGGAGTTTTTCTCGTGAATACATTCACATGCTAAACATTGAAAGTTCACTAATTTATGATCTTTTGGATAATTAATTTGGTATGCTAATATTATTAGACTTTGTGTTGTGTTTTTCTATGTTTAGAAGCTTGGAAAATTACAGTGAAAATGGCCTTTCTTTTGTGGTGGTTTATCATTGAGTCACCAGAACTCTGTTTATTTTAACCTTCTTGTGAATTGAATGAATGGATTCTGGTTTCTTTTGAGTTTGGAGATTTTATTTTAGGAAGAAGAGCATAGTTTGATCAAGTGATCCAGAGATTTTTTGAATTGAGAAGATGCATAAGGATGTTCTGCATATCTGAGCCTTTTAGGGTTGTTGAATCATTTTTTTTTCTACTGAAAGACAACTGTGTATGTATATATATATATATATATATCTCTTTTTAGCTTGTCTAGAGACTAGAGTTAGCATTGATGTACAGCGTCAAGCAAAGTTTGGAGTTGCTGTTTAGCATTTCAGTTATATATTGCCGGTAATTTTTCATAGTATTGTCCTCAGCTTAGATTTTCTGATAGATAGCTTCTGTGTGAAAGTATGCTATAAACTAGAAACAGTTTAAAGGCGCTTCCTTTATTTGAGATTTTGTTTTGTGAATGTCCTAGACTTGTCTTTAAGAAATCACAATCTTGTTAGAATGATTTTAATATGGTGGGAGTACTAGCTTTAGACTTTAGTATATATTACAAAACAAGAAAAGAAACTGCTCTGTTGTGCTTTAATTCTTGTCCAATCTCTTTCTTTTCAGAGAATGATAATCGCAGAACCAGAGTAGCAAATGGCTACTTCTCTCTATTTATGGCTATTGGCAATATACTTGGCTACGCTACTGGATCATACAACGGTTGGTACAAGATCTTCCCTTTCACCAAGACCGTTGCATGCAATGTGGAATGCGCTAATCTGAAGTCTGCATTCTACATAGACGTAGTCTTTATTGCAATAACCACCATCCTAAGTGTCACAGCTGCTCATGAGGTGCCTCTTGCTTCACTAAATTCTCAATCACACGGGCAAACCAGTGGAACAGACGAAGCTTTTATCACTGAGATACTTGGCACTTTCAGATATTTTCCAGGGAGTGTCTGGATAATCTTGCTTGTTACAGCTTTGACATGGATTGGTTGGTTTCCATTTATTCTGTTTGATACTGATTGGATGGGTCGAGAGATCTACGGTGGTGAACCGAACCAAGGTTCTTTGTATAGTTCCGGGGTTAGTATGGGTGCGCTTGGTTTGATGTTGAACTCTGTTTTCCTTGGGATCACTTCGGTGCTTATGGAGAAACTTTGTAGAAAGTGGGGGGCTGGTTTTGTTTGGGGTGTATCAAACATCGTTATGGCTGTTTGCTTTCTTGCAATGATGGTTACTTCATTTGTTGCGTATCACATTGGCTATATTGGTCATGAACAACCACCTGCTGGCATTGTAATTGCTGCATTATTGATCTTTACAATCCTGGGCATCCCATTGGCAGTAAGTATACTGCTTTCATGTTTACTCTTGCTTAGGCTGTTACTAATGATACTGTTAACTCTTCTGCAGATAACTTACAGCGTCCCATATGCATTGATATCCATACGTATCGAGTCCTTGGGACTAGGTCAAGGTGTGTATATAATATTATATGCTCACTGGTTTAACTACAAGTATTGTTTCTTATTGTAGTTCTGTTGTGGCAGGCTTGTCTTTGGGTGTGCTGAATTTAGCTATAGTCATTCCACAGGTAAGCTATGTTCAAGCGTCATTTTTTTATGATTTCTGCATTAGTGGAGGGAGTCCATAAGCATTAGTGAGGCATTCATGTTCTTTCTTTAGTTGTATATTAGTGAAACCTCATTAATTTGGTTTTAGCTGGTTGTGGTTAAACTAAAAATAGTATGTGTTTGGCAGGTAATTGTGTCTGTTGGAAGTGGTCCTTGGGACCAACTATTTGGAGGTGGGAACTCACCGGCACTTGCAGTTGGAGCAGCTGCAGGGTTCATTGGCGGAATTGTAGCCATCTTGGCTATTCCGAGAACAAGGATTCAGAAGCCCATCCCTCTTCCATAATATCCTCTCTTTTTTTGCTTAAAAGTAAGTCTGAGATCCCTTCTTTCTCTATTACAATAAGTATAGTAAACACTTGTCGCTGATAAACATATCTGGTTGATGCAAAACAGACGAGTTCAAGCGAGGAACTCATCAAGAGATCGAGCATGGTGGAAGGAGATGCACCATTTTGTGTGTTGTTCCTTGTCGGATTCATGCAATGGTTTCTCGTCTGACTAACTTATTTGCAGCTTCTAGGACCTAACACCTCTTCTGCGTTGGGTCTATGATCCTTGTGTACGTACATGAGGAGCTATAGAAGTTTACCAACGAAATAATAACACCTCATTAAAAGTTTGTGAGGTAATATGCATCTCTCCTTTGTTGGAAGCACCCAAATCGGGTTCTTCTCTGTTTGTTTTGTTGTTTGGCTGAAGCTTTTACCAGTTTACTACCACGTAATTGTAAACTATAACATGTGTACAACTGAGAGTTTGTTAAGGAGACCGAATTTTCTGAAATTGTTGTTATTTTAAGTTCATTTCTGTAAATAGTCTGATAAAGAAAACGCATGCTCTGTGTAAGTGTGTAGTGTAGAAAAAGTAGAAATGAACCATGCATGCGGATTATCATGAACAAACCTTTCAGTGTTTCACCGGTATAGTATAACAGAACTTTAGTAATAGGCATGATCTGATTAACAAGTGATCGAAGTGATATGACTACTATATGACCAAGAATTTGGCAAAAAAGATGGATCATGAATGGCTCTTTATTAAGCACCCATATGAATACCAACGCATCATTTACTTTTCTAATATTATCTTCAACACTCTTTAACTTATTTATTACTAGGACAATCCCATCATATATTACAGCACTTTGTTTGGTATATTGTCATAACCAAAATAAAATAAAATAATTATTACACGTGGGGGCAGTATGGGACCTTTAAATCTGTTGGATTTGGAAGGTCTTTATATAAAAACGTGGTGTTTGCAAAGAACTGTCATTCAAGTCAACTAAGGCGGCTTTCACACTTCCATTCCTTCTAGAATACTGACAACTAATCATCTCCTTTACAGTTTCAAAAAAAAAAAATCATCTCCTTTACATTAATTAATAACTTGGAGATAAAGAGTATTTACCTTGCACTACAACGATTTACATATCTAAGTTACTATCGCTTTTCTATTTTACTTGAAACCCATAATATATTAGCGTTTTGATTATTGAGAAAGTAAGTAGAAAGATGAAAACCTTGTTTTCCTGGTTTTTAAAGATTATTGTATCGAATTGGAGAAGTCTAATGTGTTATTGAACGAACGCACTACAACAGAGACTTGGGGATATACTCTCGACTACAGTGAGGATATATTTTACTCCCGACAAATCAGACAAGTTGTGTCAATAAGGATATTTTGCTTTATGATAAAATCCCATATTTTTGTTATGCTTAAAGGTGAGAAAATATTTTTGACCTAAAAATAGAGATGGATCTCCACTTTATGTCATATTTATATTGCATTTTTTTTTCGAAGAACTGAATTGGGTTGTTTTCTTTTTAGAATTAAATTGGGTTGTTGTAAGCATGCATTCACTAATTGAATTGGGTTGTTGTAAGCATGCATTCACTATTTGCCCATTTGATTCTTCTCTTGTCGCCTTCGGATTACATAAGTGGAGTGTTTTTTTCTTTAAGTAAACCTATCTAGCTTTACCTAAAAGAAATAAAGTATTAACCTTTTTGTATGAAATAAAGCAGTTAGCTTTTATATTTCAAAAATTTTATTCACAAGAAAGAAAAATAATTGGTAAGTGAAGTCCACCCTGTATTTGTTCATGATAAGTACATCTTTCAACTCGTCATGTTGCATGCACTTGCCCGAAAGGTAAAAATAAAACTTATATTTTTAAAAGTATTTGTCTTTTCTTTGGCTTCAATTATTGGACAGATTAGTTTCTCCAAGCTTTACTTTTTAAGTCCAATCTATCTCTTTCCATGAAGCTTCTATCGCTTTTTTGACGAATGAAATGTGAAAACTGAAAACTCATGATTATTTGAAGAAAATTCACTGACCAAACAAAAAGATTCGGAGAGTAATTAGGCACGGTCAAAACTATTTTAAAGTATCAGTTTCTATAAATTTGATTCTTAATTATTTTTGTTTAACATCTGGAAATATGATTACTTTCAGATAGAAATATGCAATAAAGTTTTTTTCTTTTTATAATCGTGAAAAAGAACTTGTTAATACTTCACTAGACTTTGTTTCATATGATCCATGCATGCAGCATTGTCTACTCCATATATAACGTCGTCATCTTTGTTAATTCATGTACTTTCTGTAAATACATATTTTAAATTATTTTCATTAACTTAAAGATTAAAGCCCTTACATCTCCATACCTTTCTTTCTGTTAACCAACATCTTTATAATTTACATTATTGAACTTGGTTTTGGTTAATTCATGATCTCATTCGAATATTTTGATATCTTTCCGAAGTGTACATCTTGTAGCAGTTTGATCAGTATGTGCTGAGGAGACAATCTCCCAACAGTTGATACTTGATACAAATGTAAACCAGTCAACAGGATACAGATAATACGAATCGAATAATAGTATAATAGAAACTAGTGATATAAAAACGATTAATGTTATGAAAACGCCAACTTTCAAAGAATTGAATTGCTTTAGGCAAACGACTCCTCTCTACTCTATTCTATGATCGGCTCTTTTAGCACCCATCTTACTTAAGAGCAAGCTATATCATTGTAATTATACTCTGGCGCTTAATCAGAGTATTATACCATCTTATATTATTCCTTCCTAAACTCACAAAAACTCTATATGTCGAATAATACAATAGCAAAAAAGGTTCTTTCCTTACGGATTTTCAAAGATTTGAAATACATGTTTTTGTTTGCACTCGCTGGTGTCTTCTGGCGTGGAATCAATAATTAATTGTCTCCACCTAATCAGAATATGACAAAATGAATTTCATTTTCCTACTCGACTATACATATATACTAACAAAAATTTATATTTCTTTTTCTTGTTCTATGTCGGATAAAGAAGAGTCCACCGAAAAAAGAGTCCGACTATTGATATATGGCAATTATGGAGCCGCAGAATTGAATTATTAACTATATAGGAGTATTATTTTCTTAAACGCATTAGTTATATTGCTAGATATATTTATTGCACTATCTAATGTGTTCACACTTATAATGTTGCTTAGATTTTGTTGATATTAAGAGTTAAATAAACTCTGATAAACTAAAGTCTATGATAATTTGAAAGTTTTAAGAAAACTCTATGATAAAATTTCCATTCAGAATAAAAAATACTCAGTTCCTATATAAATTAAGAGTCATGCAACATATGATATAACTACTTCCTAATTGGAAAAGGTTAAAGGTATGTGGTTGCAACTCGTGTGCCACAAGAAGCATGTTATCAGCACATGTATACGGTGATGCCATGACACCTTAACTGAAGTGTATACACAATTACACATATATATATATATATTATAAATGCAGATTTGCAACTTATAATGAGTGATAATACACAATCATCAGAAGGACTGGAGGAGCAATATTTAATATTTATTTATCAATACGTGCATAAGAAATCAATATAAGACCAAAATCTTCTGAGAAATTCAAAATCAAACTATGTTTGATCCAATAAGAATTCTGACATGAGTGACTTTTATAAAACGTATATAAGACCTGTAAAAATATCTTGCAAGCTTTCTAGTAACTAAATTCGTAGTCTAACCGATAATAAACCATAAACTAAACTGCTAGGGGGCAATATAAAAAATAAATCCAATGTTGAATGCAATTTTGGTTTCATTTGGTTTTGTTTTTATTTGTTTTATTAATTTATATTTGTACGCATAATATTTTTAGCTTTGTTCAATTGACGTTACTTAGATATGAATACTATAGCATTAATATTAGACTCCATTTCCACAACATATGTAGATGTCTGTGAACAAGATTTTTTTTTTTTTAATAATAAACTGCAACCCAGTAGTGTATTCTTGGTCAATACTCTATTAAGTATTATATGGTCCAACTCCTATGGACATGGACTCAATTTTGTATATACAATCCTTCAATATTTTAAAAATCTCGTATACAATCCTTCAATATTTTAAAATTCTCTTTCAATTTCATTAATTTTAAAGGATGGTCAAAGAAACCCAAGAAAAATATACTACATAACAAAATTGAAAGTATCAATCAAAATGCTCCTATTTTTCAACACAATTACTGTATAACTAGAAATTGGATAGTATGGTTATCAAGGGTCCCTCTATATACATTTACTCATATTATTATTATTCCATGTAGCCATAGTTTAACCGAAGATAAAATAAATGATGTCATTATTAATACAAAAAAGTGATGCTGAGTATACAATCCACAAGATAAGCCAAAAATTTGAATATTTAATGGTTAGCAGCAGATAAGAACTTTGCTTCAAAGCGGCAACGCATTTCCTCGCGCCACCTCTCTCCAATGTAAAAAACAAACAAAGCTTCACCTTAACTCAACCACCCACCGGCGAAAAAAACACACCGCCATGTCTCCGTCGTCTCGGAATCTTGGACTCTTCTCCTTCTTCTTCCTCATCCTCTCTCTATTCTCAATCGTTTCCTCCGACGATCTCCAAGTCCTACTCAAAATCAAATCCTCCCTCCTCGAATCAAACCCCAACGTCTTAGACTCATGGAAACCGAACTCCGATTCCAATCCATGTTCCTTCACCGGAGTAACCTGCAATTCCAACAACTCCGTTACAGAGATTGACCTCTCTAGGCAAGGATTAACCGGAAAATTCCCTTTCCCTCTCCTCTGCGATCTCACATCTCTCGAGAAGCTCTCTCTCGGATTCAACTCACTCTCAGGCCCCGTCCCCAGCGCTATGAACAACTGCACGAATCTCAAATACTTGGATCTCGGCAACAACTTCTTCTCCGGTCAATTCCCTGATGTCTCCTCTCTAAGCCACTTACAGTATCTCTACCTCAACAACAGCGCGTTCTCCGGTGTGTTCCCGTGGAAATCACTCCAAAACGCGAAACAACTCGTCGTTTTAAGCATCGGTGACAATCCCTTCGACACGACGCCGTTTCCGGAAGAGATTGTGTCGTTAACGAAGCTGACGTGGCTTTATCTATCCAACTGTAGCATCGCTGGGGAGATCCCTCCGAGGATCGGTGACTTGACTGAGCTTCGTAGCTTGGAGATCTCCGATAGCTTTCTCACGGGGGTTATTCCGTCGGAGATCGTGAAACTCAACAAACTCTGGCGGTTAGAGATTTACAACAACAACTTAACCGGAAAGATTCCTCCCGGTTTCGGAAGCTTAACGAATCTCACTTACTTAGATATTTCAACGAACCGGCTCGAAGGAGATTTATCTGAGATCAAATCTCTAACCAATCTAATTTCGTTACAGCTTTTCGAAAACCAGTTAACCGGTGAGATTCCACCCGAGTTCGGAGAATTTAAATATCTAGTCAATTTATCTCTCTATACCAACAAGTTAACCGGTCCGATCCCTCAAGGACTCGGTTCGCTAGCCGAATTCGATTTCATCGATGCGTCGGAGAATCAGTTAACCGGACCGATCCCTCCGGATATGTGTAAACGCGGGAAGATGAAAGCTGTCCTTCTGTTACAAAACAATCTGACCGGGACCATACCGGAGACGTACGGTAACTGTTTGACTCTTGAACGGTTTAGAGTTAGTGATAATTCGTTAACCGGAACAGTTCCGGTTAGACTCTGGGGGTTACCGAAGGTGGAGATTATTGACTTAGCTATGAATAACTTTGAAGGTCCGGTCACGGGAGATATAAAGAGCGCGAAGATGCTCGGAACGTTGAATCTAGCGTACAACAAGTTCTCTAATGAGTTGCCTGAAGAGATCGGTGACGTGGAGGCTTTGACTAAAGTTGTGATTAATGATAACCGATTCTCCGGGGAGATTCCGAGCTCCATTGGGAAGTTGAAGGGACTTAGTAGTTTAAAGATGCAGAGTAACGGCTTCTCCGGTTCAATACCGGACTCTATTGGTTCGTGTTCGGCGCTCAGCGATCTCAACATGGCGCAAAACGCGCTGTCGGGAGAGATCCCGCACACGCTTGGATCACTCCCGACACTCAACGCTTTGAATCTTTCAGACAACGAGCTCTCCGGGAGAATCCCGGAGAGTTTGTCGTCTCTAAGGCTTAGCCTTCTTGATCTATCAAACAACAGATTATCAGGTCGTGTCCCGTTGAGTTTGTCGTCTTATAACGGTAGCTTCATCGGTAACCCTGGACTCTGCAGCATGACGATCAAGTCGCTTAACCGGTGCATTGAATCTCCAGGATCGCGTCGTGACACTCACATCTTTGTGTTGTGTATAGTTTTCGGTTCACTGATCTTGCTAGCTTCTCTTGTGTGTTTCTTGTATCTCAAGAAAAGCGAGAAGAAGGAAATGAGAACGTTGAGACATGAGTCTTGGAGTATAAAGTCGTTTAGGAAGATGAGTTTCACTGAAGATGATATCATTGACTCGATCAAAGAAGAGAATTTGATCGGTAGAGGAGGTTGCGGAGATGTGTACAGAGTTGTACTCAGCGATGGTAAAGAACTCGCTGTGAAGCACATTCGTAGTAGTGGCACAGACACTAAGAACTTCAGCAGCGCGACGCCTATCCTCACTGAGAAGGAAGGAAGGTCTAAAGAGTTTGAGACAGAGGTGCAGACACTAAGCTCGATACGTCACTTAAACGTGGTGAAACTCTATTGTAGCATCACGAGCGATGACTCAAGCTTGCTGGTCTACGAGTACATGCCTAATGGGAGCTTGTACGACATGCTTCACTCGTGTAAGAAGTCGAATCTTGGTTGGGAGACACGGTATGATATAGCTCTTGGTGCAGCGAAAGGGCTTTGAGTATTTGCATCATGGATACGAGCGACCGGTGATTCACCGTGATGTTAAGTCGAGTAACATATTGCTAGATGAGTCCTTCAAGCCTAGGATTGCTGATTTTGGTCTTGCTAAGATTCTTCAGGCGAATAATGGTGGTCATGATTCTACTCATGTCGTTGCAGGAACATATGGTTACATAGCTCCAGGTAATGAGACTTAAAATTCTTATTGTTTGTTCTGTTTGATGTTACATTATTATTTATTAACATCAAGGTTGTTGTTGCAGAGTATGGTTACTCGTCGAAAGTGAATGAGAAATGCGATGTGTATAGCTTTGGAGTTGTGTTAATGGAGCTAGTCACGGGGAAGAAACCGATAGAGGCGGAGTTTGGAGAGAGCAAAGACATAGTGGATTGGGTTAGTAACAATCTGAAGAGCAAAGAGAGTGTTATGGACATTGTGGATAAGAAGATAGGAGAAATGTATAGAGAAGATGCAATCAAGTTGCTGAGAGTTGCAATACTCTGCACCGCAAGGCAACCTGGCCTAAGGCCAACGATGAGGAGTGTGGTTCATATGATAGAGGACGCAGAACCGTGTAGATTGATGGGTATTGTGATTAGCAAAGAGAGTGATGTGAAGATCAAAGAAATAAGTTGATGATTAGGTATGGTTTTTGGTAACTGTGAAACTTATAGAGAAGAAGACTAATGTGGAACATCTGAATCTGGTACAACGTAAGAGGTTAGATGGAGAATGTGATTATAGTCCTGGTGGTTATGAAATCTTCTCATGTAAACTATTTCTTGTAATTGTAGAATTTTGGTTTGAGTCAACAATCAAATAGTAAGTCAAGTTTTTAGTAGCTAGAGGCACTATACTTGGCTAAAAAATCATATTCGAGTGATAAAATAATTTTGTTATGACTTCTCAATGAAACCAAATCCGATTTGAATTCTTGTGATGAGACAATTATTATCGTATAGCGCCACCGTCCCCTATGGGTTTTTAATAGTCAAACGTATTATGTACGTGTGATCAAAACTTGTAGTTGCCAACTTTGACTATAGCACAAATAAAAAGGAACTTAAAGAAAATAGAGGTCCTTCACTATCAGACAGTAATGCTATTCTGCATTTGTATGATTAAAAACTTCTTTTTTTCTTTAAATTCTAAGGAGGTGGGACATATGTAAGCATAAAATAATTTATATTTTACATTAGATGGAAGAAATAACGTAGTCTAAGAACAACTGTTCACATGTCCTGATGTGCATTTGCGTAATACCCGTAATAGAACAACCTTAGTACAGACAAACAACTAATTCACCATACCTAACACATTGCCACAAGACTAATCTTACAACTAATAACAAATTTAAAAGCTGTCTCCCCATCACCTTTTGTTCCCTTGGTTTCAATTCAATCCAAAGAATGCATCATCATATAAGCCAATATTAAATAGCACACACTCATAATCATTAAACAAAGTAATAACATGATGCGACTATTTGTAGTGAAACAACTCTAAAAAAAAGCATACGCATTCACGAGACAATTAGTGGTGGACCAAAAAAGTCCACTACGTGGCCTTGCTTTTGTTAGTGGTTCAACTTGATATCTGTAAACCAATCTAAAGAGTCACAACAATCATTAACATTAGCGATCCATAGAGATTCTAGAAGCTAAAAAGTTAACACCATACAGGCCCAAAGTTAATGGTAACATTGCTGCAACCAAAAAAGAGTTTAACTACTAATATACAACAATTTTTTGTATCATTCTCTATCTAAAATAAGAGAAGAAATCTCAGTAATCAAGATTTTGTCAGCGGAATAGATCTTGGAATGACCACATAATGAATCTTGCAAAAATATCAGACTCCAAGAACTCAATGTGAGCAGCTCGACCAATGAACGAGTTGAGGTTACGACCATATAAGGTTGTGTCGAAGTTGACGTCGCAACGCATGAACACTCTCTGGTGGTGAGGTGTTTCTGGAGATGGCCCACGTATTTGGTCCATACAGTTATTAAGCATCTCCAAGAACGCGACTCCTCTTTTTGAGTTGTCGAAAGAAGCTGGCTGGCACGATTCGATCCTGGCTGAGTGATATGGAACATACCCATCCTGTGATTACAAATTGCAACTAAGATCAAATCTAGCAAGACAACTTATGATAAGATATGCTTATTGCCATTAGTTACTATTATGTTAATGTACCTGAGGCGAAGACAGGAGAATTATGTTCTTGAAACCGTCCAGAGTCTTTTGCTGCAAAGAAATTTAAGAACTGACATTAGAACCAGAGAAGAAAGATTTGGTTACAAATCTTGATGCATTGTTAGGATCTTTCCCTACCTTGCAGAGCTTGTAAAAGAAAGTATTCTGAAGATCAGGATCATCAGTGAGCGTAAGCTGATGAATAACCTGAGTACTCTTCAACTTCTTCAGAAGCCATAGTCCAGAGTTAAACAATGAATTTGAACTGTATAGATAACCCAAGTGTGGACCCGAAAGCGAGATGTATGTATGTAGATACTTCTTGTACGGATCCATCAAACTATCTGCAACAAAGAGACAATGATCAACACAAAAAAAAAACAGAACCAACTGTTTTAAGAGAATGGTCTAGACTCTTACCTGCTAGCGCAGTTCTGATGATGACATTGCCGATTGAATGTCCAACAAAACTCAGCTTAACCTTTTTCAAGCGCCCGTGTCTCGAATGTTTCTCCATTTTCCTCTTGAAGAAAGAAATAACTTCCTGCGCAAGCCTCTGCCCCATTTCCCTGAAATCTCCATGTGTTTTGTCCTCGTTTGACTCAGACATGAGAAACTCAATCTTTGGATCAATCAGGACCCACTGGTTCCGGATTAGCCTTAAGTCTAAATGATGCCCCTATAGTAGTTAATGACAATACTAGATTAACTTAAAGGAGAGCAAGAAAATAAGAGTTCGCTGAGATTCTAAATGATACTTGCCTGGAAACCATGAACAAAAACAACAATCTTCAGCTCACGACCACTATGCTGTGAGTTATTATTATGTTTTCTTGTCACACTCTCGTCATCATCATATCCCTTAAGTAAGCTAGAATCGATTTTATCAACATGTCTCATGTACGAGTTTTCACTGAAAGTACGCCTTGGTGCATTCCAGACACGTTCAATTATAACAATGGGAACTCGCATAGGATCACCAAATATATGCATGTCTTGTACCGCCCGATTGTTAATCTGCACCATTAGTCGTCACAAATGAATTATTACGGTGAAGTGAAAAACACGAAGCAGAGAAGAAAGAAAAACAAACCCGCATTTGAGCAATACTTCGACGGTGAAGTTCAGCGCGAGTGGCTGCAACTTGCGAAGGCTGCATAAGAGCAAATATTTAGATGAATAGAGCCAAGTTGGATTCTGATGAAATTTGGAAAAGGGACAATGTAACTATAAACTCACATCATTCAGCTTCAAAGCACTTGTGACTCTTTTGTGTGAACTATGATTTGAGGTATCATCCACTCCACTTATAAAATGATGTGGCATTTCAACCTTGGAGTACACCATCCATATTGACCATTCAGCTCTTCGATCCTTTGTCCAGATATCTCGAAGATATTCCAATATTTTTGTGTTATTATCCCTGTAAAGAACAAAAATAAGACCAAAGATAATGAAGCTGCAAGGATTATTTGACTATGAAAGTCGAAGGGAAATTAAATTACCGATGAAATGTCAGAAAGGTATCCCAAAGATAATGGAGCTGGGTTCCCAGTAGATGGAATGTGCGAGACAGATGGTCCTTTGAGAAGTTATGAAGCCAGTCATCACTTTCTAAATCAAATGAGGCATTCAACTGTTATGCCAAAAAATGGAAGAAACATGTTCATATATTCCATAAGATAGTGAAATAAAACAATATTAGATAAATGCTGCAAAATTAAGCAAGGACCTCAAGATTGTTTTGTTGCTTGCCTTGTCCTGAACCTTCAACATCAACGGGTTTTCCCGTTGTGTCAGATAAAAGAGTCTTGTCCATACTGGATACAAACTCAGACAAGTCGATTGTTTGGTCAATTGCCTTGCTGAGAATCTGCATTTCTTCAAGCAAAGTGTCACGAGCTCCAAGTAAGGCTTTAACAAATGACACCAGCTTGTCAGCAGGAGCTATCTGAGCAAAGGCCTAGTAGGTTACAAAAGAATCAACAAAGATCTTGTAAGAATCTCGAGAAAGAGGGGGTATTACTACAAAACGGGATACTCAATAAAGTTCTTGTCAAATCATGCAAATTTGTAAGTAACATTTAATTAACTAATTGAAGAGGTGGCAAAGAGCAATTGTTTGTGAAGACAAAGAGCAAAAAGCAAAAAAAAAAAACAATTTTCTCAATCAAATAAGAGTTTGGCCATGAGGATAGGATAGTGTAAGCACATACTTTCTTGGAAGACTGAGACTTGCCGCTGGCTAAACTTTTACCATTACTCGCATCACTGCACAAAACATATTGATATATTAACTGAAGGGATCAGCAGAATTAGAACTCAAACAATGGTGAATGATGCAGAATCCAAATATAAGTGGCATACCTTGACAAAATTACAGGCCGTTTGTAAGAAGCGGATTTCATGACAGTGACGTGGACGCTTACATCGATAAGAACCGCGTGAAAGGTGTCAAAGTGGACCGGGCAGTAAGAATGCACGCCTGAGAGCGCTTTAGGAGGAATACGAAAATCATGCACTGCTGCAGGACTATCATCTGAAGTAGCTGCCACTGATATATTCTCCATAATTGGAGAATATAAAAGCTCAAATCTCAATATAACAGCAGATGTAGCTGGCCCCTGCATCATTTTGCAACTAATAATTAACTATACTTCTCTTCTAGGCCAACCAAGTACACCATTTATCACAACTATTGGAGCTAACTATGATCAACAAAAAGAAGTCGCTAAAGTAACCTCACAAACACAACGCCCTGGCCACACATTTGTTCATATTAGAAGGAAACTAGGTGGAAAAGAAAAGAAAGAGTGGCACCTCATATCTTTGCAGTGGCATAGTAAAAGAAACCATCATGCATAGACGAACATCCTGCCTTGCATATTTTATACGAAAGGGCTGTGTTAAGAAACTATTATCTTTATCATCTATCTTCCACACTTCAGAAGAGTCGTTTGAGCTTGAATCAAGAGCTGTGAATACGCAGAAACAGGATAAATAGATCAAGGAAACACTCTGGTATAATGGGATAATCCATTCAATGTGATGGAGAAGAGTACCTACCTTCATACTGAACAACTCGTGAAGGAATCCCACGGGAGTTGTTATCACCATCCTCCCATCTCATGCTAATTTTTATTTGGTACCATCTAAGAGAATAATAGAATCCAAGATTTAGACACAGAATATGATAAATTGCTTCAATATATACACTAAAAGCTATAGCTAAAAATAATAAAATACCCTTGCTGGAAGAGATCAAGGTTATGGAACCTATGTATATAAACAGCGATTTCCTGAACAGTGTCGACCATGAGCACAGGCTTAACCCTGGCTACGAAAGGCTGTGCATCAAGCGACTTAGTTTGCCTACTTCGTTGGCTGAGTCCAATTAACCATCCAAGACGCTTTAACATATGGAGGAACTCACATCACCTTCGTTAAAACTTTGAGATGTGTGTGTTTCAGAATAAACTGAAATCCTGAAGACAATGCTATGGTCACCCAAAGCAAAACACAGCAAGAAGCTGCAGATAAAAGCAAACACACAAAGTCTGTGATTGATCAACTCTTAGCAAATTAGAGCAGCTTAAAGTCGTCTTCCACACCAAAACTAGGTCAAAAACGAAATTGCACACGAAATTTCGAAAAGCGAAACTACATTCCCCTAATTACGAAACAAGGCAGGAGATACAGAGTCGTAGTTTCTAGAAGATGAATCGTGATAACGAGGATACGACAAAAGATAACCGAGAATCCACATTTACCTCGAAATGGAAGAGAATAATGTCAATGGCAGAGCAGAAAGAAATAGTTGTGGGGGCTTTGAAGCCAAGATCTAACGATTGAGATAAGATGGAAACCAAGATTTGCTAGGGTTTTCTGTTTTCAGGACGAACAAGGAGAAACCCTTTAGCAGAAGAAAACAGGGGAAGAAAAAGGAAAGAGGATCTGGGAAAGTTATAATGATGATGGTAGGGAACAAACAAACAAAACGATATTGAGAGACTCAAAAGGATTGTTCAAAAAGTTTAGTCAGATTTTTTATTACTTTTGTGACTTTTGTCGGGTAAAAGATCAATGAATGAATGTTCATGCGACAACACCATTTCCTATGTCTGTTTTTTTTTCTTTTTATTACAGAGATCTCGGTCGGAAAAATAATGTTTTCCGTCTGCGCGAAAATCCACGTCGTCAAATGAATCCGACCCACCAATTTTTTTTACAGGCTTTTCGAGATGAGTTAACAGGCCGGTTTTTTGGGTAGTTTATAAGGCCCATGTAAGAGTTTATAAGGCCCAAAATGACGCTGCTTTGAATTCAAACTTAGACACCACTTGATCGAAATGAATTGGTTTTGGAGAAAATGAAAGAGAACAGAAAAAAAAAATGAGACACTGAAAGTCTGGAATTATACGTTTCTCATTCAAAATTCATTAGAATAAGCTGTAATCTCAAGCTTTTTGATCTCTTATTATACTTGTGTGATTATTCTTCTTCTTCTGTTCAATCATGTTACAAAATAATATCATCCTGATCGAATAAGATAACGATAAAGTAGAGAATATTTAGACTTCATATGCATCAGTCGTTTCCAATTTGACACACACACAAACATGGCCCAAGCACGTATCCTATGATCAACACTAAGAGTCACCAAGACCTTCTCTCGTCTTCACCTAGAAGCTTCAGAGCACTATATGATATCAAATACATAATTAATCACGTTATTCTTCAACCACCAAGAAAAAGCGATTTGATATTAGATTTGATTTTGCTATAAAGAACGAATCGATTTTACCTTTTTTTGTTATTTGTTGGTTAAAGGTTATTCGTTGCAATATTGTATGTTTTTACCACTTTCTTTTTGAACATGCTTTGTAAATTGTAATTATTGTTATTGACCTTGCACAAAGGGAGATTAAAAAGTCTCCAAAATATCATAAACATTGACGCTATTATGTACCTACAGGCTACAGCATCTATATATATAGATATAGTTATGTCATTTACTCTTCATTGGCTATCCTTTTATCACATTTCTCTCTTCCTCAGCTTTTCTCCCACTAGAAATGAAAAGTTTTCACACAGACCATAATCCCTCGGCGGTGGAATTCGGCGGGAATAACTTCGACGATGATGGTCGGGAGGAGAGAACGGGGACGGTGATAACGGCGAGTGCTCACATCATCACGGCTGTGATAGGTTCAGGAGTCTTGTCCTTGGCTTGGGCAATAGCACAACTTGGTTGGGTGGCAGGAACAGTGCTTTTGGTAACTTTTGCCGTTATAAATTACTTCACATCTACAATGCTCGCCGACTGTTACCGATGTCCGGACACTGGAAAACGTAATTATAATTACATGGACGTTGTCAGAGCTTACCTTGGTATGAATCTGTCACTTTTTTTAACTCAACTATTAATTTGGTATTGTTTTAACCACAAAGTATTAAAAATGATGATACTTCCTCCGTCTCATAAGACATGATGTTTTATAAGATTTTTGGTGGTCCAAAATTTAAGAGGTTTTGACAATTTTATTTTAACTTTAATTTCAATTAAAAGTGTTCAACGAATTATGTTCTACAATTTTTAATGATTAACTGAAATATTTTTAATTTATATCTTTTATGATACTTTTTAAACTTTAATATTTGTGTGTTTTTTTGGCATAACATCTTATATTATGAAGCATATATTTTTTTAGCTTAGTCTATTATTTTTACTAAACCATACAACAACAGGTGGTTGGAAAGTGAAGCTATGTGGATTCGCACAGTATGGGAGTCTAGTAGGGATCACTATTGGTTACACCATCACTGCCTCCATAAGCTTAGTGTAAGTTACAACTTGTGAATTATTTAGATGTATAATGTCAACATCTTGTGTACAAATATTGTCATGATCATTGATGTTGTGTTGGTTAGAGCGATCGGGAAAGCTAATTGTTTTCATCACAAAGGACATGATGCAAAATGTTCCGTATCAAATTATCCACTCATGGCGGCGTTTGGTATCATCCAGATTGTTCTTAGTCAGATTCATAATTTCCACAAGCTCTCTTTTCTCTCCATCATCGCCACTGTTATGTCCTTCTCTTATGCATCTATTGGAATAGGCTTAGCGGTGGCCTCTCTGGCAAGTACGTATTCCTTCCTGGCTTATTTATTTGTCTTTTATAGGACATTTGTAGAACATTCAAGCTATTTCTAAACCCTATGCAAATATTTTGATATATATATATTTTTTTTTTTTGTTGTCTAGCTATCATATTGTACATTTTAAAAGTTTGCTGTATAAAATCATCTGGACCTAGACCTAATTATAGGATTCTCATAGATTTGTAAGATGATATATGTGAATCTTTAAACTAATGGCTTAAGCGGTATGATATGTAAGGTGGGAAGGTTGGTAAGACAGATCTGACAGGCACGGTGGTTGGAGTGGACGTAACTGGGGCTGACAAAATATGGAGGTCGTTCCAAGCAGCTGGAGACATTGCCTTTTCATACGCATTTTCCGTTGTTCTCGTTGAGATTCAGGCATGCATTCTTTCAATTAGAGATGTTGGTGGTCACCATAAAAATAGTGTCTAGCAATTTTTACTATCATTTATAATATTTAATCACAGGATATGTGTGTTGGTTGAAATAATGACTTCATATCGTTATTATGTCAAAAAAATGCTATTAGGTTTCTTATCAAGATTTTTTTTTTAAAACTTCTTAACGTTAGTGATGGATATATTAGAGTTACTATGTTGTGTATTAGCTCTTATTAAAGACAGTTTTGCTCATATATGCTTGTTTTCCTCTTTTGCAGGATACACTGAGATCAAGCCCACCAGAGAACAAAGTCATGAAAATAGCAAGCCTTGCTGGAGTCTCAACTACAACTGGTTTCTACGTTTTATGTGGCTGCATCGGATATGCTGCTTTTGGAAACCAAGCCCCTGGAGACTTCCTTACTGACTTTGGTTTTTATGAACCTTACTGGCTCATCGATTTTGCTAATGCTTGCATTGCTGTCCATCTAATCGCAGCCTATCAGGTAACTAATTATAAAGTGAGAGTTTCAACTAATACTAATGGTCTGATCTGAAATTTTGGGGACTATAAACATTTACTAAGAATTTTCGTAATTTTTTCTCATAATTTGGAAGTCTAAGTCTATGTATATAACATCTATAAATTTTGGCGGTTTGTGTCATTGTTTCACTAGGATTAGAAAAAAAAATAGTAGCTACCACTCAAAATTTTGAAGTTACGTAAGTCTCAAGAAAAACAAAACAGAACATTGATGATGTTATTGTAATGAGCAGGTGTTTTCACAACCAATATTCCTGTTTGTTGAGAAGAAATGCAACAAAGCGTGGCCAGAAAGCAGTTTCATCACTCAAGAACATTTGGTGAATATACCATTGCTCGGAAAATGTCGCATCAACTTCTTAAGACTGGTGTGGAGGACAACCTATGTCATGTTGTTAACAATTGTAGCAATGATATTTCCCTTTTTCAACGCGATATTGGGCCTTATCGGAGCACTCACATTCTGGCCGCTAACAGTTTACTTCCCGGTGGAGATGCACATCTCGCAGAGAAAGGTTGAGAAGTATTCTATGAGATGGATAGGGTTGAAACTCCTTGTATTGGTTTGTTTGATTGTTTCGCTCCTAGCTGCAGTAGGATCCATCGTCGGCTTGATAAGTAGTGTCAAAACATACAAGCCTTTCAACAATTTAGATTAGTTATTTGTAAGTTGTAACCTAAGCTATCTGAATACATAGTTGATAAAGAACTATGTTAACATATATAAGAAAATGAATACATACTTATAATGAGCTATTTTATTTATATAAGATGTTAATTAACTTGTTACAACGCATAGAGAATTATAATCACAGAATCTTACATGGGGACATTGAACAACAACAATAAAAGGAACAAATGAGCAGCAATCTCATGATGTGTCTTCTTACATCCAGAGTTTTTTTTTCTAATTTATACGGTTACATAATCAAACCAAAAACATAAGACTTGTTTTCGAAGAAGCAAAATTAATTACATGGATAATAGATTATAACCTTTATATAAGTTATATAGTGTTTCATTTTACGATCGCATTTAGTACTACAAAGAAATTTAATTAGTGAAGGAAAAAAAACAAAAACAAATCTATCTACTTATATATAAACATAAATTTAAAGTATTAGTTTTTCATTAACTAAAATTTTTAAAATATAATTCTGAGCTAGGATCTACTTACTATGATTGAAAGAACAAAATGCATTCAACATGATGTAAGGGCAGTGATTTTTTTTGAAAAGTTGAAATGTAAAAAGAACATATTTTTACTGACAATTAAGAAAATGAGAATCAGTTACTCAAGCCCGGCCCAAACTAAGCCCATTCCGTCCGTCTTTAAGACTCTTGCCTTTTCCCCAAGAGCTTCTCTGTTGTACTTTTTGTTTTAGAAGAGTCAAAACCACAATGTTTGACTTTCTATTCCATGACCAAACCAACATGTCCAAAACAAGACAAGAATCAATCAAATATATTAAAAACCGAAACAGAAAAGGAAACACATGGAAGCAAATGAAAGTTTCTTTTGACCTTCCTTCTTCTTCTTCTTCGAAGTATTATCTGATTAATGCCCATTGTTCTTCTCCTACAACTAATCACCTCCCTCTTCCTTATCCCTCCTCTCTTCTCTTCTCTGTCACACAAAGGTGAGATTTTTATTTGACTTTTTTTTTCCTGCGTTGACTCTCGTTTTCTATTTTGATCTTATTCATGTTGATTTAGATTGTTTCCCATCAGTACAGGCCACGCTCATGGCCAACATCGTGATGAACGGTGACTTCTCTGATGGGATTGAGCCTTGGTACGCCAACGGATGCCAAGCCTTTGTTGTTTCCTCTGGCTCGTTTAGCTCAGACTCTGGCTACGCCGTTGTAACTAATAGGAAAGAAACTTGGCAAGGGCTTGAGCAAGACATCACAGCTCAGGTTTCTCCTGGTGTTAAGTATAATGTTTCAGCTTGTGTTGGTGTCTCTGGTTCTTTTGATGAATCAGACGAGGTTCTTGCCACTGTGAGGCTTGAGCGTGATGATTCGCCTACTGAGTATTTGTTCATTGGAAAGTAGGTTTTGTTAGTTAGTTGTTATCTTTTGGATTTTTTTTGTTTGAAGTTTTGTGGAGATTGATGATGGATTTGTGAAATTTACCTGCAGAGCTTATGCGTCAAGAGATAAGTGGGTTGATGTAGAAGGAACGTTTTTGATATCGAATATGCCTGACCGTGTTGTGATCTATTTGGAAGGTCCAACTCCGGGGAAGGATCTTCTTATACGCTCGGTTACCGTTAAAGAGTCTACTTCTTGTGACTTTCAGGTAAAAGGTTTATGGACTCTTTCTTTACCAGCCAGAATCCATTGTGACAGTATAAGCCAATATAAACTAATGTTATAAATTTTTGAGGCTTATTGATTTACTGCAGGAAGCAGAAGAGAAAATAGCAGCGTCCAGACTTCCTTTGAATATCATTAACAACCATGACTTCTCTGACGGTTTGTGTTCTTGGAACTCCAACAGTTGTGATTCATTTGTTGTTGGCAGCAACGAATGTAACTCAGAGTCATATGCCGTTGTTAATAACCGGAGCGAAACCTGGCAAGGACTTGAGCAAGATATCACAGACAGAGTTTCTCCTGGTTATACATATAAAGTCTCTGCTATTGTTAGCGTATGGGGACCTGTTCAAAGGTCGGCTCAGGTCTTGGCCACTTTGAAGTTAGAGCACCACGGCTCAGCAACCGAGTTTAAACTAATTGGAAAGTAATTGAACTACATGACATTCTCTGTTATATATAGTTAAGAATACTCGGAAAAATGCTGATACTGGTAATGTTTTTTTAATGGCAGAACTTATGTTTCGAAAGATGTTTGGAAAACTGTGGAAGGTACTTTTGTGATATCAGGAAGACCTGACCGTGTTGTATTCTTCCTGGAAGGTCCACCTCCTGGTGTTGATCTTCTTATAAAGTCTGTAACCATCCACTGCGAAAACAGTAATCAGTTTGAGGTAACTGACTGTTTAAAGAGATATTAGTTTCTTCTTTTTTTTTTTCCTTCTTGAGACCTTAAGAAGCTGTGTTCAATAATCTGATATGTTTCTTTCTTTGACAGAGAAGCCGAGACTTCTGCTCAGCTCCTGAAGCTAATCATCACATCTTCCTAAATTCAAGCTTTTCCGATGGCCTCAATCATTGGTCTGGAAGAGGATGCAATCTTATGTTACATGAGTCTCTAGCTGATGGGAGGATACTACCACATTCTGGAACATGCTTTGCTTCTGCAACAGAGCGCACACACAAGTGGAGTGGAATTGAGCAGGATATTACTGAAAGAGTCCAGAGAAAACTCATTTATGAAACTTCTTCTGTTGTTCGGCTATCGCATAGCCATCACACCGTGCAGGCCACTTTGTATGTTCAATACCTTGACCAACGTGAAGAATACATAGGCATTTCCAGGTGAGCTTGGCAACGGCTTCTTTTCTCCTTTTCCAAGTTGATACTGAGAATGTGAATGTTGTTTCAAATGTATCATCTGATCAACAATGTTGATTCTTTCAAGTGTTGAGGCAAACCATGATGATTGGGTGAAGTTGAAAGGGAAGTTCCTCTTGAATGGATCTCCAGCTAGAGCAGTTGTTTACATTGAAGGACCCCCACCAGGGATTGATGTTTTCGTCGACCATTTTGAAGTAAAGCCTGCAGAGAAACCTCCACTTTCAAGACGACCATATATCGAGGTTAGACATATATTTTTTCTTGCTGACTATGAATCATGTCTACTGAATCATAAACTGTTACCGTTATGTCTACAGAGTCATGTTTATGGGATGAACATAGTTTCCAACAGCCACCTAACCGATGGAACCATCGAAGGTTGGTTCCCTCTTGGAGACTGCCATCTAAGTGTTGGAGAAGGCTCCCCTCAGATATTACCTCCATTGGCCAGACACTCTCTTAGATCAACTCATGAGTATCTATCTGGACGATACGTGCTTGCAACGAACCGAAGTGAAACATGGATGGGTCCTGCTCAGATGATAACTGATAACGTGCAGCTGTTTTTAACATACCAGGTTTCAGCTTGGGTTAAGGTTGGCTCAGGAGGATTAACTTGTCCACAGGACGTGAATATAGCACTTGGTGTTGATGGTAAATGGGTTAATGGAGGAAAAGTTGAGGTCAAGGATGGTGACTGGCATGAAGTTGTTGGTTCTTTCAGAATCGAGAAGCAAGCAAGAGAAATTATGCTTCATGTCCAGGGCCCTTCTCCTGGTGTTGATCTAATGGTTGCTGGTCTCCAGGTCTTCGCTGTTGATCATAAGGCACGGTTGAGTTATCTCAAAGGACAAGCTGATATGGTAATCCACGAAACATTTTAGTTGTTACAGCTTCAGTGAAACTTCATTTTGCACTAATGGATAATGGTCTTTCTCTGTTATTACAGGTTCGTAAACGCAATGTTCGCATCAAAGTCACAGGTTTAGATCCTAACGAACTATCTGGTGCAACGGTGAGAATCAGACAGACGAGTAACAGTTTCCCACTCGGTTCATGCATTAGCCGGAGCAATATAGATAACGAAGACTTTGTTGAGTTCTTTCTCAACAACTTCAAGTGGGCAGTGTTTGGTAACGAGCTGAAATGGACCTGGACAGAGCCAGAGCAAGGGAACTTCAACTACAGAGACGCAGACGAGATGCTCGGATTCTGCGAGAGTTACAACATAGAAACAAGAGGTCATTGCATATTCTGGGAAGTCGAGTCAGTTATTCAACCGTGGGTTCAACAGCTGAGTGAACCTGAGCTAGAATCAGCCGTTGAGAATCGAGTAACCGATCTCCTTACACGTTACAACGGTAAGTTCAGACACTATGATGTGAACAACGAGATGCTTCATGGATCATTCTACCGAGATCGTCTAGGCTTTGATGCAAGAGCAAAGATGTTCAAGATGGCACATGAGTTAGACCCGTTAGCGAGACTGTTCCTCAATGAATACCACATTGAAGACGGGTTTGACTCTAGGTCATCACCTGAGAAGTACATTAAGCTTGTTCATAAGTTGCAGAAAAAAGGTGCACCTGTTGGAGGAATCGGGATACAAGGACATATAACGAGTCCCGTTGGTCACATTATTCGTAACGCTTTAGACAAGTTAAGTACACTAGGGTTACCTATTTGGTTCACTGAGCTTGATGTGTCCTCTATCAACGAACACGTAAGAGGAGATGATCTTGAGGTGATGCTGTGGGAAGCGTTTGCTCATCCAGCGGTTGAAGGAGTGATGCTTTGGGGATTCTGGGAGCTGTTTATGAGTAGAGAGCATGCGCATTTGGTGGATGCTGATGGTGAGGTTAATGAAGCTGGGAAGAGGTTTCTTGAGATAAAAAACGAGTGGTTAAGTTTTGTGGAGGGAGTGATTGAGGATGAAGAAGGAGGGTTTGAGTTTAGAGGTTATCATGGGAGTTACATAGTGGAAGTTGTTACTTGTGAAGGTAAGTATGTGAAGAGCTTTGTTGTTGAGAAAGGCAATTCTCCAGTTGAAATCATCATCGATCTTTGAATTTTTTTATGACTTGATATCGTTTATGCACATTGGTGAGATACAAGCCTTCTTTGTGTGTCTTGTGCAAGATGGCTTTATTAAAATGAAATTTTCTTTTGTACTTTCGTTACTTGCAACACAAGAAAGATCTAAACCCACCCTTTTTGGAATACACATCTAATTCTTATTAGTATATAATAATAGACACACCTCAGTAACTATATAAATCATTAAAAAGAAACAAGAACAAAGCTCTATTAAGTTAAACCATCCATAAATTAATGATGTCAACCCTTAAATTAAACTATCCATAAATTATGACCAATTTGGTTAAAATAATTTGGTTAAAATAAGAGTACATGGAAGTATGTTTTTGGTTTTCACTCTTCTTTAATCTTTTTGAGTTTGACTTCTTGAGTGGAAGGTCGATAAGCTACGAAGGTGCTATCAGTTGAAAAGGAGCCTGGATTGAAACATGTTGTTCCCCCAACTTTGAAAGTCTTTTGCTCACTCATGTCACCTAATACTATCTGTATCAAAACAACAAAAACAACAATCATTTGATTGGCTCTTGTCTTGTCACCTACAAAACAAAACAAGAAGATTAAAGAATAATACCGTATGAGGAGGAGTTGGGTATAGTCGAAGAGAGTAATCATAGTTCCAAATGATAGGTTGCACCATGAGAGGTAGAGGACATAAGTGGCTCTGGTGAGTTATTGTGTGAGCAAGCTGAACCAACCAACACATTTCACAAGTTTCAGATTACACCCCGGAAAACATTTAGAATCATAAGTTGGAAGATAATGGAGAAGAGAGATGTGATTACGTGCTCAAATGGGTCTTTATCAGAAGGGGCTATTAAGCATGAACGGCGCATCTGGTACAGAAGGTCTTTCCGGAAGAACACAATCTCCTGGCCGTCGAACTTTACTCTGCATTTAACAAAACTTCTGTGTTCGGTCCATCTACACAAATCCTCATATTTCAACAATAGAGTGTTCATATAGAATTTACCTGCATGGATTGCTTGGAAAAATCGCATTGGGAATAACATCTCGAAGCTCTTCGGTTAAATAGTTTGGTAAACCACATCTTGGCAAGACTGTAGAGGGACCTGTCAGATATATAATGAATTCTTATTAGTCCTCATGGACCCTATCTTTATTTAGATAGTTGATGGAGATGGTTGGTAGTACCTGCATCATCAGGACCTGGAATGAATAAAAAACGACTACTTTCTTTTAGACGTGGATGGTTTCCAATCATTCTCCCGAGTTTACCAAACTGCTTCCTGAAAATTAAATGGATACATTTCATCAAAGAAAACATTTATAAGAACATATACATATCTCTGACACAAATGAACCCTTACCTAAAAGAAGCAAAGGATAAGTTGCATGAGGAGGGAGAAAAAAAGTTTCCCATGAAAACAAACAAGGAAGGCACAATCTCTCCACTTTCAAAATCATTTAGAACCTTTTCCAGCTTCTCTAGAACCTTCTCAACGGGCAACACATTTTGGCGTTCAAGCAATCGCAGTCATAAATGATAAAACACAGTAGCTGGTACTCAAACTTTACCTCTTCGTCATCCAGCCATATGTCAGACAATATGACAAATGTTTCATCTACTGGTTGTCTTTCTATGTCTTTTCCAAAATGTGTCTCTCGTTGTGTTTTATCTCTGTCTTTTTCTAAAGGAGGAAATTCGCAGGCAACAACCTAATACCACCAAAACATGGGGGAAAAAGAGGACGAGTTAGCTCAAAAATGTATATTTGAAACTTTCAAAGGTTTGTATTATTTTTCATAATACACACAGGCTAATTAGTTTTATATTCCCACCTATAACTAACATTTTGATCTCACCATGAACCTTAGAATATAATAGTATAAAACATAAATCTCCCAGTAGTCAAAAAATTTTAAGTAACTAACTCAGAATATGCATGCAGCTCTAAATTTTTTACCTGAAAGATACCACCATGCATTTCACCTTCTGCCAAAATAATAGTATTCTCAGTGAAAAACCCTGGGGATATCCTGTACTTGACTGTCAAGGAAAAGTACTCACAGCACAATGAACTCTCAAATGCAACTCCTTTATAAATGTATGAAACTGTAAAAAGTCTATAAACTTGTCAAAGAAAAAAGGATATTGTTGCTTTGGTGAAATTAATCTCAACAGAAGCAGAAAGGTCTTCCAAGTAGAAATGCCCATCTTCCAACTGTGATATCACACCCATCACCCATTTCCTTCCCATTTCAAAATTTAGAGACTGTATTGGAGATATCTACTCAAAAAAAGAACATAACTTAAAACCCCACATATTATTATTTTATTTTAAAATAAAAACCAACCTCATAGTTCTCAATTTCACCATCAACAAAAGCTGGCCTAGAAAAAAACTCTGAACGAGAAACTCTCTGCAACAGAGAAATGAATCTGTCCCTATATAATTCTATTTTCGAAGAAGCCTTACCGTGAACAGACAGGCTACTTGTATCCCTGTAATCAAATACAACAGCTATTAATTAACTAAAATCCTTTTAAAACTCTTTTTTTTTTTTGCAAAGTAGCTTTACTCGATGAACTTCTTGTTAACAGAATCATATCGATACTTTGGGACAAGAAAGGAGTCGATAACAGCCAACGAAGAAGCTACAGGTTCCTCCGTAACATCATTAGCTCCTAACAAAAGATTAATCACTCCTTGAACTGATTCAGCATCCACTACTGAAATATTATCTGCAACAAAAAAAAAAAGAATAAATAAATGCACATTAAATTATGAGAGAATCAAAATCATCAATAGGAAATAATAATAATAAACATACTATTTTCCATGTCGAGGTGGTCGAGAAGAAGATCAATGGCTTCTCCTTCATGGTCGTTTGGGAATTGATCGGTGAAGGCGAGAATGCTGTTGAGAGCGTCGAGCTTGAGGCTGCAACATCTGTTTCTGAATTTCTTCTGTATCTTCTTCCTCATACTCATCTTCTTCTCTTTGATCTCTGAAACCTCTTTGTTTTGTTTTGTATCTTCTGAAATCGGCGGGAAATGAAAACCCTAATTTGGTGAAAGGGAAACCCTTTTTTTGTGTTAATAATAAATTATTTACATTATTGCCCCTCTAGCAAGAAATCAATGAAATTAAACCGGATGGTTCAGAATACTGTGGTGATACGAAAAGTTTACTGAAATGTTTTTTCTTCTGATTACTTGCAACACAAGAAATATCTAAACCCTCTATAATAATAGACACACCTCGGTAACTACATCTGTAACCATTAAAACGAAACAAGAAGAAAGCTATATTGATTACGTTAAGTTCTAGGTCAAGATAGACACGTCTAGATCTCATCAAAGTGACGAAGAAAACAAAGCAAAATTATTTTTTCCTTTGCTTTTGTCACTTGTGTCGCTATCTACCTGATGAGATGTAGACGTGTCTTTCTCGAACTATAAATTTTCAAAAGTTGCCAACGAAAGAAAACAAAAACACAACTATTTGCCAAGACAAAAGCAGACACTTCGCAATCAGTTACGTGTTGGATATTTAATTTGACACTGTCTGCTTACTGCTTAGTGTCCTCTTTCACCTTTTCTTTTGTTCAGTTTTTGTTAAATCAAATAGGATTCTCTTTCACAACCAAAAAAAAAACTCTGCAACTGTGAAGATGATCAAAACAATCTCATCTCTACGCAAAAGTCTGGTTCTACCTATTCATATACATATTCGAACGGTATAAACTGAAAATGTTTTTCTTACAATCTAATGTTTCTTGACAGTCAATTCTTAGATGCAGAATATTTGAGAATGTTTTTTTTATTATGAACAGTTACAAACTTTCTCCAAGTACAACGCACAAGCTGCTTCAGCCTTACGAGAGGAGCGTAAGAAACCTGTTTACAATCAGTAAGTTAGGATCCATCCAACTCATGTAAACAAGCACTAGAAAGCTCTGTTTTCACAACTGTTGTTATGTATTATATAGAGATGAAGAGTATGTGGATATGGATTGGGACAATCTCGGTTTTGGTCTGACTCCAGCTGATTACATGTACGTCATGAAATGCTCAAAAGACGGTGAGTTCACTGAAGGTGAACTTACTCGTTTTGGTAATATTCAGCTAAGTCCTTCTGCTGGAGTCTTGAACTATGGACAGGCAAGTCTCTTGTAACCCTCTTGATTTTTGTCTCTGCGTTGTCTGATCAATGAAGGTTTTGTGATATCATTCACAGGCGATATATGAAGGTACAAAAGCATACAGGAAAGAAAACGGGAAGCTTCTTCTGTTTCGCCCTGATCACAATGCTGTCCGAATGCAGCTTGGAGCTGAACGTATGCTCATGCCTTCTCCTTCTGTTGATCAGTTCGTTGATGCTGTTAAACAAACCGCTTTTGCAAACAAACGTTGGGTAAAAACACTTTCTTGTAACAAATATTGAGGTTTCTTTTGGGATTTGAGTGATGTGTGTATTTGGTTCAGGTTCCTCCTTCAAGTAAAGGGTCTTTGTATATTAGGCCACTGTTGATGGGAACTGGTCCAGTTCTTGGTTTAGGACCTGCACCTGAATATACATTCATTGTCTATGCATCTCCAGTTGGTAACTACTTCAAGGTATCTTTCACTTCTTGTTTGATTTTTTTCTCAGTGACAATGGAACTATTGGCAAATAATTTCTCTACTGGTTTATAGGAAGGTACTTCTGCTCTTAACCTCTATGTTGAGGAAGAGGATGCTCGTGCTGCTCCTGGTGGATCTGGAGGCGTCAAGAGCATCACAAACTATGCCCCGGTAACTATTGAAACCCCACTTAGTTTTGAAAGGGAACAAGCTTTGAAAAAAAACATGTGTTGTAGGTTTTGAAAGCACTGAGCAGAGCCAAGAGCCTTGGGTTTTCAGACGTTCTTTATCTTGACTCTGTCAAGAAGAAGTATCTTGAGGAAGCTTCTGCTTGCAACGTCTTTGTTGTTAAGGTTAATATACATATTTGTGACTGTAATTTCTACTCTGGTTTATCTTACTATCTAGTGTTCAGGGTCGGACAATCTCAACTCCTGCAACTAATGGAACAATTCTCGAGGGGATTACTAGGAAGAGTGTTATGGAGATCGCAGTTGATCAAGGCTATCAGGTAAAACAACTCAAAGATACTTTATTAGTTCATAAGAACCAACAATAATAAAGTTTCTCATAATTGGACATGATCAGGTAGTAGAGAAGGCAGTTCATGTGGATGAAGTAATGGATGCAGATGAAGTTTTCTGCACAGGAACTGCTGTAGGAGTTGCTCCTGTGGGAACAATAACATATCAGGACAAACGGTAAAACAAAAAAACTCACACTGCCTTGATCAAGTTTTACAAATATTTGGCCTGATGTATATCTTTTCTGAAACATTCAGAGTAGAGTATGAAACTGGGGATGAATCTGTCTGCAAGAAACTGCGTTCGGTCCTTGTCGGTATCCAGACAGGATTGGTTGAAGATACCAAGGGATGGGTCACATGTATCAACTAAGAAACCAATTACAACCTTTCACCAGAGAGACTACTCTGCATGTTATTAAGTTGTGTATAGACAACAATGAAGTTTGTTTGCTCATTTCTATCTCCTTAACAACATGAATCACACTCTCAACTTCGACCTTAAAAGCTCATTTAGTAAATGTATTCTGATTCAACATTTAATAAATGCATTCTTCGTTGAGGAAAAAACAACAACTGAGAACTCAAATCGTTCTGGTTCTTAAGAAAAATAATAACATGGAATGATGGAAAAAACATTATATGATACTTAGGACCAAAGCCATCTTCTATACAAACTCTCTGCAAATTTTCCTTTGAAGTACTAGAGCTCTGGTTTCAATCGACCTACGGTAAGAAGAAAACATCAATCAATACAACAGTAAATAGAAAGGAAAAGACAGAGAGATGAGAGAAAGGAAGTTTGTGTAGCTTTTAGTTACCATTATTAGGTGAGAAGCTAGACATAGTCGATGGATTTGAGACATAACCCATTTGGTAGAGGTTTTGTAGTTCACTCTCTAGTGCTGTCTACACGTTGAGATGAAAAAGAAATGTGTAAGATAATCTAAAGTGGTGACAATAGCATGATATGTTGATTCTGATGTTTCTTGCCTGTGGTAATGGGTTGTAGTGTGGATTTGTGGTGGTAGAAATGTTCCCTTGAAAACTGGTGAAAGGATTCAGTCCAAGTGTAGGAGTGTTTCTGTCTCTTGGTTGCAGAAGCTGAGCAGAGAATATGAAGGCTTAGTACTGATTCAATAACTTGCAAACTACTAACTCATTTTTATTATGAAGTTTTGGGAGTGTTCTTACATCTTTGGCGATAATCCTGTCTATATCAATGTTGAGTTCTGGATTCACCGTTGCCAGTTTCATAGATAAAAACTGAAAGAAAAAAAGAAAGCAATGTGACACACCAACATCAAAACCAAAACCTCTTTCAAACCATAACTTAAACGTTTCAAGACTCTAACATATTGGGATTAGTTCTTACCTCAACTTGTTGTTGCAATGACTGAACATAGTTGATGATTTCATCAAGCATAACCGCTTTCCCAGTGATCTTGTTGCATCCTGGGACAAGCTCTTGAAGCAGTCTCATCCTTTCACTGATCTTTTCTCTTCTAACCTTCAAACAACAAATCAAAAAACAAACTTCTCAGAACTAGTGATTGGTAGGAAAACTTGATATAACCTGTAAAGAGTCATTACCCTTTCTGCAAGACTGTGGCTATTAGTGGCTTGACCTCTTCTTGCCCTCATATGAATGTAGTTCTCTTTAGGTGCTTCTTCACTCTGTGAGCTCTCTTTACTCTGACCATCTTTGTGTTTCTTCTGACTCTGATCACTTCCCCTTTGAGGGTCTTCTTGATATTCCTCCACAGCTTTCTGCCAATTTAACAACACTCACTTTGTTTCAGCACAAGACAGATGAGAATCAAACCTCTGCTAAACCAAAACCTACCTTGTTCCGTTGTGATTCAGCTTCAGCTTGCCTTCTTTTTCTGGTTGGTGAAGCACCAAGAACACCATCATCTGAAACCTGATCATGAGACTCTCCAGCTCTCATCAACCTTCCAACACTTTCCCCATTCTTGTCTGAACCAAGAAACTGACCAGCACCTCCACAGTCACCAAACGGAAGAAGACTTGCAGGCATGTCCGGATAACCAGAACCGGTTTGGTAATGAGTGAAGCAACTCATTCCTGGATTCTCCATCACCACTGAAGGGTAATGGGAGCTTGAGAAGCTACCACCATTAACAACTGGATCCCAATCTGAAGAAGAGAAGAATGGATCTGCCTTTGCATACAAGGGCATTGATGTAGTTCCAGCTCTTGAGTGATCATCTCCATGGTTTAACCCCATCTCACCTTCATTACTCTCTCCACCCATTTCAACCCTCAGAATAAACTTTAAACTCAGGTTTGCTACTTTGTAAGACTTCTTGACAAGGGAACTTAAAACCAGTTTTGTAGATTTTATAAAGTGGGGAAAGAGAAAAGAAAAATCAAGAGAGCATCAAATCTATTTTTTGCAGAAGGAAGTCACAGGTTCTTTAAGGAAAGAGAAGCCTAGGATAAATGCTTGTTCCTACTCAAAGTCAAGAGAAGAAAATAATTAAAGAGAAGAATAGACTTATCACAGACAAAGAAAGCTGCGAAGTTTCAGAGCATAAAGTGGTAACAAGCAATGGATTTAGCTAAGTTACAGCTCACAGGAGCTTAGTAAAGAAAAGAAAAAAGAGGAAAAGTAGATTCGCTTTTAATAGTGTGAGAGAGCAAAGTCACTGTCTCATAACTAACCTCTTGAGCTTCAAGAACTTTGAATTTTTAAATGAAGGATATTGCTAAAACTCCATTGGATAGCATCAAGTTGCTAGGATCATAGTAGCAATAATGTGAGAATTAATAATGGAAGATAGATTGAGACAAGCTCTGTTTGAAATACTCCAAGATTGTGGTGCCCTTGAATAGATAGAGTTTAAAATAAGAATCAAATTCTTTAGGTGGGACTTCTACATTTTACAGTAAACCTAAGTCAGGTAGGTATTTAAAGGGTATCAAATGCTGTTTGTAGCGTGAATTGGGAAGAATGAAGAATTTTTAAAAGGGGGAAATTAAAAAATGAAATAAACAAGAGATTCACAAAATTGGGTGCTTGAGCAAGCAACAAAGCAAGCATCAAGTTCCAATAATAATTGTGTTTAATGACAATAAAAGACCTAGAGAAAGAGAATAAACAAGGTAAAGTTGATAATTACCATTTGAGAATTGTTGAAGTTAACACTAACAGGGGAGACATAGTATGATTATTAAACAAATACAGAACAACTACTGTCAGCTGCTTTACTTGCTCTTTTCTTTTTCATTATTACACAACCTAATCTACCTCTTTAACATATCTTACCTTTTTATAAAGACATGTCTTAACTTTTACACCTTGTAGTGTTTAAATTTCAGTAAACTATCCCCTATGTGTACTGCCTTCATTATTCTTTAAACGCAATAGAATCTAAAGTTTAATTTTTGCAATAATACAAAAATATAGACCAATTAACTGTAAGAGAAATTAAGATTATATTTATACATAAAACTATTTAATTTTATTATGTTTTAAAGCTATCTTCTCAACAGTATTTAAGTCTCATGATTCTTTTTTTATTGTTTCAAAGTCTCAGTGTGCAAGCAAGAGGTTCTTCTCTTCATGCCCAAGCTTTGCTTTCTAGCTTCTACTCTCTGACATGTGCTTTCGAATATCATAGCATATAAGTATACATACATGCATGTATATAAATAAATATGATTATGTGAAAGATAATATTATTTTTTACTGACATAAATTGCCAACTGTATATTCAAACAGAAGACTCTTTGCTGTGAGTCTGTGACACACTCATATTTTTGTTCTGAGTGCCAACTAACCCACTCTTTTGGAATATTTTTACTCCCAGCTTTTCTAGCAGCCGTGTGATTGAACCACTACGTTTAGATCTCATCTCTAAGCCGTTGGATCCTAGCAACATATTTTTATATCTTTTTGATGTCTGTACTCACACTATAATAAGCGTTATATTTCTCTTATATTTCCTTTAAAGACTCACTTGAAAGTCTTCAATAAGGTTGTGATCACCTCCACTTTCTCCATTTCTCAAAATTGAACGGTAATTTGAAAATTTCTAAAATAAGTGGAATATGGCACGAGGGACATATTGTTTCGTTTTTGTAAATAGTACCAACATTGCAACTTGAGAAGAAAACTAATCGTCCTTTATTGAAATTGCAGTAATGGATTTAGAGTGCGTAAAGTTTATGAGGATCCTAAAATCTAGGTGATACTATTTGGCTGTGTTGTCATTTTCCTAAAACAAGCAAAGTTATACTGGCAAGACTTTTAAAAATTTCTACAAAAATGTTTCTGGAGTATGAACAGGTCTGATCCCACTTCTTACAAATTGTTAGTCATATATATTTGTTAGTAGATGTAAATTGATCATTCTACATAAAACTCAATGATTACATTTGATTACTGAGCTAACAATCGCAACTAGTTACGAATGCTGATTATGTTATCAAACATACATTAATAGTAGCAATTTTTCTGGTCAATAAAATAATCCTAGACTAGAAAAGTATATTATATATCAATTTAAGAGGAGGAAACATAAGGAATAAAAGGGAATCTAATCTATAATTCATTAGAAATAAAATAAGCTAAAAATATGTATAAAGTTCGAGCTACAGCTGTATATAAGATTTTGACACACTAGTGTTTGGTACTAGTTCTTATAGGGCATGGGACAACTAACCCTCAACAACCATAAATCATGGTCAAACTTTAGATTATTTGGTCAAATCCACAATCATAGTTGTTAATTAGCTGGATCTCGTATACTATATAAGTGATAGGACACGGTTGTCTATAGTATACATATGTTTTATGCTAAAAGTGAAAACTATTTGCAAATTGATTTGTTCTACATTTAACATGGTATTTGAATAGATAATTAATCAAATGGTTTTATTTACCTTGATTATTATTATTTAAATAGTAATAAGTGATGTGTTGGTAGTTTTTATATTATAAACTATTTTTAAATTAATGAATTTTGATTTTAGTTTTCAAGCTGTTCGAAGAATGTAAATACTACAAATTGTGTTGTTTACCGAACTATTTTACAACTGCAAACAATACAGTATATCCGGATTTGTTAGTAATAAATCAAATGTGTACCTTGTAGCAGGTATGATGTAGTATTTACAAATGTAGATAGTTTAGAAAATTAAATTATTAATTCAACTTGTGAATGCTTCTCATCATTGCAGACAAGGTAGGTGAATTATCCAACCAAATTAAAATAAGTGAGACTTGCACACAACTCATTCTACATTACTCCAATAATTATACGGGACCACACTCTGTTACTGTTTCACTAAACATATACATACCTACGTATTACTAATTTTAAATCCAAATATACAAAAAAAATTCATTTAACGAATATTAGGTTTTAGACAATTTTCACTGACGATATCATTTGACATACATGTATGACATTTTAAATCGAATCAGTGCTCAGTAGAATCTCGAATAAAATTACTATTTTCACATCAAGTTCTATCACTAAACTATCAAATGACAAGCATCACATCATAGATGTGCATAGTTGTCTAATTACCAGTTAACCAATATACAAATATAATAGTACTACCTATTACCTAATCTCTGTTTCATGTGCTGTAAAAAGAACAATGACATACGTAGAAAGTGAGCAAAGGAATGATTAAGAAAGCTTAATGAAGTTGGTTTAATAAAAAGTATGAGTTCCTTATTAAACTCCATTTTAATCAGACTATGGTAAACTTTGATCAGCGTGACGCCAATTAAAGCGAGAAGATCCTCTGACCACGCGCGAGAACTACTTATGCAGACCTTCTTTAAAGTTTTAACTAACACTACAATGGCCCATCATAAGAAGTGGTCCAAACACATTTATTTGCAATAATGCTCGAGATTCCTAGGATCTTTATCATGATCGCAAATCATAAAAATAAGTAGAAACTCTATAAACTAATACTATTGATACTTTAAAATTTTATTAATTTATAGAGATATTAACTTACAAAAATTTTATTTTTAGATTTCTGAATATTTTAATTTATAAAATAAGAAAATATTTGATTTATCGTAGATACATTATTTAAATTTTAGAAATTTGATTTGATATTTTTTTATTATCTTATTTGGTGTATATTTTATGTTTAATAGAATTTTTATGTAGTTTTTAATATAATTTTACTAAATATTATCAAAATATATTGAAATGTTTAAAATAGAGGTATTTTTATTGTAAACCTAAAACCAACAATATAATGTTTGTTTATATAAAATACACATATAGATAGATTATTAATTTATGATTTTATTGCGACTATTGTCGTAGTTAGATAAAGGCTAGAGTCAGTCCATGCTTCAAGTATCGTGGTTAACGGACTGTAAGAAGTTTGAGTGGTCTCTTAAAGATTGTATTGTAGGTGAGATGATCATGTTTCTCTCTGTGATAAGATGAGGTTCACGTTAGGTTAGTCAGGTCAACCTCATTGGTGAGTATCAGGATGGATATCAAGGTAATCAACAAATGAAAACAAATGAAAATGAAGAGAGAGAGAGAGAGGTGAAAGGAATGGATGGGGATCATTTTTAAGATTTTAAATAAAAAATAGATACCCATTGATTACATGTCATTTGCTGATGGGTTAACTTAATTTTGTAAATTAAAATTTAAACTAAGTTATGTTAAAACAAATTTTATTATATGTATAAGATGTTCATTTTGAGAACATCAGTAAAAGAAATTCTCTTATGTACTCGTATCTTGATTCATGTGGCTGTTGATGTTTCACTTCCACATCGTCAATAATTGTAACCAGGTTATATTCTTAGAAATGGATATTTTGATTTTGATGCTCCAAGTTGAATTTTCTTGTTTCACTCAAATTTATTTGATCTTTCTTCTCTTGTGTTTATTTTCTTGTTAAACTTAATTTATGCATTCATACTTTTCCCCACTCTCTTATGTAGATTACTCAATAATAAACACACATATAGACCTCTAGATTTAACAAGTTCCCCTAAGACATCTAGATACTAGAGTACAAGCAAAGTTAGACACCGTAGAACATTTTTAGTGCAGATATCTCAATCTGTCTCTCACTAATACACAAATAGATCAAGAAGAAAAAATATGAGAATGGATGATTAAGGTTAATCTATTTCGTAAGGTCAACTTTTCTCTTTTCTCCACGTTCATGCTTTAATCTCTTTATCTCTCTCTCTATGTTCTAGGTCGAAACTTTCATCTTTCTCTCACTAATACACAAATAGATCAAGAAGAAAAAATATGAGAATGGATGATTAAGGTTAATCTATGTCGTAAGGTCAACTTTTCTCTTTTCTCCACGTTCATGCTTTAATCTCTTTATCTCTCTCTCTATGTTCTAGGTCGAAACTTTCATCTTTCTCTCTAGTAGAGATATGTTTATTTTCTTGTGCAAAGCTGAAATCCCTCTTTAGAAAGTTTGTTAGATTTGGTCTGTTTTATAATATCTTGCATTTTATTAAAAAAATGAATGTCAGACTAGAAAACACATATCTGAGAAACTGAAATGTTTTTTTTTCTCTTTTTGGGTTTGTCTTGCTGCGGATAAGTTTGTTAGCTTTAGTCTGTCTTTAATACCTTGTATTTTTATTAAAAAAATGAATGTCTGGGTGGAAAACATAATCTCAGAAACTAAAATGGTTATTGATGTTTCTTTTTCTTTTTGGGTTCATCTGATTGCAGGATGAGTGAACGTATTACTTATCGCGAA